CAGGAGTCAAAGATTCTGTTCAGTTGTGTCAAAATGCTGGTGTCAAGGTAATTCTTTTGTTCGATTTAAAAAAAAAAAAAAAAAACAGAAAGACAAGTGACAGAAATTTATTGTTTACTTCATGATATCTGTGGGTTTTCAGGTTCGTATGGTTACTGGTGACAACGTCCAAACTGCCAGGGCTATTGCCTTGGAATGTGGAATATTAACTTCAGATTCAGATCTCTCTGAGCCTACTCTCATTGAAGGAAAATCATTCCGTGCGATGACTGATGCAGAAAGGGACAAGATTAGTGACAAAATATCGGTACTGTTCTCAACACTGCTTTTTAATTATTAAGTTTGAATGTGTTGGTATGTACATACTTTGAATGTCTTAGTCTCATTCTATGGGGAGGTTTGGCCTGTCACCAGGCTTCACCCAATCCAGATATTCTCGTTGAACATCAGATGCATCAGTTTATTGTAATATGATGTAGTAGTAACAGCCTAAATCGAAATTGACTTTGTTGTTACTCCACATGTGAAGGTTATGGGCCGATCATCGCCCAATGACAAACTTCTGCTGGTACAATCTCTGAGACGACAAGGGCATATTGTTGCAGTCACCGGGGATGGGACAAATGATGCTCCTGCATTGCACGAGGTATAGTAATTCTCAAGCAGTTGAAGCAATTTACTGAAATTTAAACTGATAATGTCGAAATCTACATCTACGAAAGTTTCTTTTGGCCATGTGTTTTGTCTATATATACTCAGAGAGCCGATCATTATCTCATTGGTGTTAATTTTTTTGAGTGGATTCAGGCAGATATTGGTCTTGCTATGGGAATAGCGGGAACAGAAGTGGCTAAGGAGAGTTCGGACATCATCATCTTGGATGACAACTTTGCTTCAGTTGTCAAGGTTTATTCAAATTCACTTTTCTCTACTTTATAGATTCATTTGTTGGATTAAGGTCTGCAAGACTCATAAATCCTTGCTTCATTAGAAAATTTATTGTGAATCCATTATCCATGTAAATTTTGGGCAAATCCAAGAATGCATTTTCGTAATTCAATCTGTTGCTATTTGGTACTCAACCTTAAACTGGTGGTGGCTTCTGATATATAGGTTGTTCGCTGGGGACGATCAGTGTACGCCAACATTCAGAAATTCATCCAATTTCAGCTCACAGTCAATGTCGCCGCTCTCATAATTAACGTTGTAGCTGCTATTTCGAGTGGTGATGTTCCACTTACCGCTGTGCAGGTTTGAGTGTCTGTTGCAGTTAGCTCTTTTCAGATCTCAATCTCTAAATATTGTATAGTTATGCTCATACATTTGCGTTTTCTTCTAACATACAGCTTCTCTGGGTTAATCTGATAATGGACACTCTTGGAGCATTGGCTTTGGCTACTGAACCACCCACTGATCACCTCATGGGGAGGCCTCCAGTTGGCAGAAAGTACTGTTTTTGCAGCTTTCATTCAAACTTAAATAACACATATGGTTTTGTAGACATACTTATTGTTGTTTTATTTGCTTTGACTTCTTTTTGCAGAGAACCTCTTATTACCAACATCATGTGGAGAAACTTGTTGATCCAGGTATAAAATCAGTGAATAGACTTTCTGATTATTTGAAATCACCCCCTCTTATATATTAATAAAAAGTTGAAATATATATCTTTCAGGCTATCTATCAAGTGAGTGTATTGTTAACACTCAATTTCCGAGGCATAAGCATACTTGGCCTGGAGCATGAAGAGCATGCACACGCCACCAGAGTGAAGAACACAATAATCTTCAACGCCTTTGTTCTCTGCCAAGTGAGTTAATTAAATCTAAGTCTTCTCTTACTGTATAAAAACCAGAATGTCAACTGTATATGTTAATCAAACTCTATGTTAACAGGCTTTCAATGAGTTCAATGCTCGTAAACCAGATGAGAAGAACATCTTCAAAGGTGTGATCAAGAATCGTCTCTTTATGGGAATAGTTTTCATAACTCTCGTCCTCCAGGTAAATACTAATTTGGTGTATCACAAAAGCATTGTAATTTACATTTCATAAACTCTAACTTCTTCCACACTAAATCAAAACCGTCTTATTTTTTCGTTTGCCAGGTTATCATTGTTGAGTTCCTCGGTAAATTTGCTTCCACCACGAAACTTAACTGGAAACAATGGCTAATCTGTGTTGGCATCGGTGTTATCAGGTCACTTTCATTATAATATTGTTTACAGCTAAAAATGTTGAAACATAACTAACGTTTTAGTTGAACCTTTGTAAATTGACCAGTTGGCCACTTGCTTTGGTCGGGAAATTTATTCCGGTGCCGGCAGCTCCTTTAAGCAACAAACTGTCAGCACTGAAATGCTGGGGCAAGAAGAAAAAGTCTTCTGGAGAAGGTAATAATAACTTACAGCTTGTGATTACTCCATTAATTCATGTGAAAATTCCGGTTTGGTTATCTTGTATAGTAGGACTTGTTCTGAATTTAAACTAGTAAGGATTTGGCTAGATTATGCAGGGGACTGAAATGAAATTGAAGTTTGAAAATCATGATTTGAGAATTAACGAGTTCGATTTTTTTTCTCAGGTTCACTCTGATGTGGAGGCCGGTTTATCTCAAGACACTCGTGAACTTGTTTGATACTTTTTTAGGACTAACAAAAAAGGCGTTTGGTTTGGTATGGATTTATTGATATTTTTCGGAAACCGCTTAAGTACAGTTTTCGGGGTTTGTTGGTCGGGCAAATTTGGATTTCTGGTTTTCTTTTTTGGTCTTTTTATCTTTCTGTAATATGATCGACTACCTTTCGAATCATTACTGGGTAAAGATTTTAACCAAGAAATCAAAATTCGAAAAAAATGGAAAACGTTTACTTCTGTGTGACCCAGTTATTCAAGTGGCAAAGTGTTCTTGACCAATTTATTACATCTTTTTGAAACGGTTAAATATAAAATAAAATTTTACTCTCATGAGAAAACTGAGAACAGTGAATATCGTAACTTGGAAGTAAATCGCAGCATAACTAATGGAAGCATTATAGGATATGAAGATTTAATGTCGAACACATTTACGGGTAAGCGATTACGAGAGAACAATTCAACTCCCGCGTAAGGAATCTGGAATGTAGGTAGACAGACATCAATCAATTCCAAACTATAAAACAGAGAGTTAATTATCGGCTATGGACTTTTTGGGATGGCATTTGTTGAACAAACCATTTTTATGATTGTATTGTGGATTTGCCATTTCTAGTGAACTGAAATGACGATTTCGCCCTGTCTACATAACTCATTGATTTACGATTAAAAAAAAAAAAAAAATTCTTCTCGAGAAAAACTAGAATTGGAGAGAGAGAAACCCATCTTCGTCCCTTTGCCGAAGATCTCAAATTCAATGGCTGCACTGAACCATCTCTCCACCAATTGCTACCAGAGAATCCTCCTCCGTTGAAGCCAAGGTGAACCTCGTACGAGCTCTCAAATCCTCCCGCATAGATCGACGCCACCATTAAGCTCTTCATCAAATTGAAGCTCGAGATCGGACGTCACTCATGGCGTCTTTAATTATTTTTGTCCCTATGCTGGTGGTTTATGATTGTAGATTTTGTAATTTTATCTCTTTCGTTTGATTTTTGCTTCATGTCTTATGGATAATCATGTATTTTTATGATATTTGGTTTGGGTTCCCCCTCAATAGCGGTAATTAGGGTTTAATATCCCCTCGTAGGCCATGTTTATGTGTTGTTTGTTGTGTTATAGTCTGTATTTTTATCATTTTTGGTTTGAGAATTTGGTAATTTGAAGATTTGGTAATTACTAGTAGAAAAGAAGAAGATAGAGATCCAAGCAAAGCAGAATCTGTAATCGAGGAAGATCAGAAGTAATGGCTGTGGTGGTGACGGAGGAGATGATTAGAAGATTCATCACCGCTTTATGCATTTGTGCCCCCAAAAACGATTCACCAGCGTCAAGGTCAATTCTGTCATTTCATTATGCTGAGAATGGCATATCCAAAAGACAATCAACAAAATGGCAAAATTAAAAAATGGCAAAACAGCACTTGGCAACAAGATACCATAACGGCAATAGAAGAAGCCACGGAATGGGGCACGTGTTGGCAAGATGACTCAAGCAATTATAGCAGAGAAGCACGGACTCGCACTCGGGCACAGAGATCGCAATGGAATCGACCAAGCAGGAATTTTCTTAAGTGTAATTATGATTGCAAATATGCTCAGGGTGGGAACGCTACTCAGACAGGCTGGATTTTCCGGGATCCGGATGGTTTTTTCGTGAGAGCAGGGATAAGTAAGGGTGATCATTGTTCCTCGGTAGTAGAAGCAGAACTCCAAAGTCTACTCATGGCGATGCAACACGCGTGGATACAAGGTTATAGGAGAGTTATCTTCGAAGGGGATAATATTACTGTCCTTAAACTAATCACAGGAGAAAAAAGGAATTTTCGACTGCATAATTGGATTAGAGAGATTATTTCATGGAAATCAAGGTTTGCCTCTGCAGAATTCCAGTGGACAAGAAGACACAACAATCAAGCTGCAGATAGATTGGCAAAAGAAACTTTAAGAGATAATTCAAGCTTTGTATCCTATTTCTATGTTCCAAGCTTTATTGTAAACATCCTCCATGAGGATCACATTTCGAATTAATGAAAAGCAGCTGTTAAAAAAAAAAAAAAAAAAATGGTGGTCCAAAAAGGGCAAATCCTGTAATAATCCCATAAAACTGACGGTGAACAACTGGTTAACAGAAACCGTAAATAGGTCCCACGTGTCAGACAAGTTTGGCCACGTCATAAATTCATTATCGGATACGGAAATCACTCGATGAAAAGCCAAAAGGGCCCCTCGGTCTTTTGTTTTTCTGTCGACTGATATTTATATATATTTTTTTTGTTTCTCGGTCGAATAGTTAAATTTTACACAATATAATAATTAATTTTTAAGCTTTATCCAATTTTTTTTAATTGTAAAGAGTAAAGAACGCGGAGAAAATAAAATAGGTTAAAAAATTCACGCGTGAAAGAAAGAAGAAGAGACTGGTGCTAAAAGTGTTTGGGTTACTCATTCCCTCTCCTTTTCAAGTGCCAGACACTACTACCTCTCTGTTTATTTAATGGTCGGTGAAGAACCGTGATTTGCTCAAATCACCAAAATAAGTACTCTCTTTCAATCTCCATCTTCCCGTTATCTCCGCCACGTGTTTCTCTCTCTTTTTGTCTCCTTTCTTCTTCTTCTTCTTCTCCCCTAATCTTAATCTCATAAACCAACAACATCAGTAGAGTCAGTAGTACCCCCACACACACACACAGTGAGAGAAGCCCTTTTTCGATTCTCCACTTTCTTTCTTCCGAAAGATACGATTTTTCGATGTGGGTCATTGTTGATTTCTCTCTTCTTGGCTTATGAGTTTCGAATTCGAAATCTGAAACTAAAAGCTTTTTGAAGCAAATGTTACTGACACCTAAAATGTTTAGTTCTTGGCTTCGAAAAGATGTGAAGAAGATTCTCAAACGCAAAGACAGTGATGCTGGTGAACGAGGTCAATTCAAATAAACTTTACTTCAGTTTCATTGTTTGATTTCGATTTCGACTTCTATTTGATTATCCAATCTTATTATAGCTAAAAAAAACCCCAATTTTTATTTTGAGATTAGGGTTTGATCACCAAAAAGTTGAATTTGATTTTGTAACAATGGTTTCTAATTCAGGAAAAGCACTTGAGGACTTGAGAGCATCGTTATTCAACAGATTCCGTTCACCGGAAACTCCAAAGAGACAGCAACAACAACAACATCGTATCTGTGGCCCTACTCTTGCTCTTACTTTCAATTTCATTGTTGCTATTAGCATTATCTTCGTCAACAAATGGGTAATTTTAACCACCAACTCTTATAAAATCTTCTTAAGTGTTATGAAATACACCAAAGTATCAGCTTTTTTTTGTTTCTTTTGATTTCAGGTGCTTAAAAATATAGGCTTTGAGTTTCCAGTGTTCCTCACATTCATTCACTACATTGTAGCTTATCTACTAATGGCTCTTCTCAAATCCTTTTCGCTCCTTCCTGCTTCACCGCCTTCCACGAAATCATCGTCTCTTCCGCTTTACACTCTTGGCATTGTAATGTCACTCTCTACAGGACTAGCTAATGTTAGCCTTAAGTATAACAGGTTTTTGAAAATATTCTCTATCTCCTCTTGTTTTCTTATATTGCTTAGTCTCATATCATTACTCACTTCGTTGTTTTTGTTTCCTAGTGTTGGATTCTACCAGATGGCGAAAATCGCTGTTACGCCTTCTATCGTGTTTGCAGAGTTTTTGTGGTATAGAAAGAGAGTTTCTTTCATGAAGGTAAATGAGATTTTCTCTCTTTATCACATAGTTGCTATATCCAAATCAAAATCTGCATTTGTTTTGTACTCCATTGGATTTGCATTGATCCATTAGGACTAGAGTTACAAAGAGGAAAAACTTTGGTATAGTAAGTAACCTTGTGGTTGTGGCTGATGTTTGTCAGGTGGTTGCACTTACAGTTGTATCTGTGGGAGTTGCGGTTGCGACTGTAACAGATTTACAGTTTAGTCTTTTTGGTGCTTGTGTAGCATTCGCATGGATCATACCGAGCGCAACTAACAAAATCTTGTGGTCCAATATGCAACAACGAGAAAACTGGACTGCTTTAGCGTATGTGAATCAGATTCTTTAGTTTTTGATTTCCGCTCATTCGTTCTCGCTGTATCAACATCTTTCAATACCATCTCTTCACTTTTTTTTTTTAATCCAGGTTGATGTGGAAAACGACGCCAATTACTCTGTTGTTTCTTGTATCGATGATTCCGTTCTTGGATCCGCCAGGTGCTCTATCTTTCAATTGGAGTTATGCCAACACATCTGCCATTCTTGTTTCCGCTCTTCTTGGATTCTTTCTTCAATGGTCAGGAGCCTTAGCTCTCGGGTAAGTAAAGCTTCTAATATATTTGTGTGGTTGCTTCAGTTCGATTCTCTTATTTAGGTTTTAAGTACTTCATTTGACTTTAGTTCGATTCATTTTGGTTTATCTGTTCTGGCTTCGATTTCGTTACAACGAGTGTTCTCAAAGTCCAATTTTTTGTCCATTTTTTTGGCAGAGCAACTTCTGCAATAACACATGTAGTGCTCGGACAATTCAAGACCTGTGTTCTCCTTCTTGGAAACTACTACATTTTTGGGTCGAATAGTGGTTTGATTAGCGTTTGCGGTGCGTTTGTGGCGATTATGGGGACTTCGTTATATACTTACCTTAACACGAGAGGTCCATCTCTTAAAGCTTCGTCTTCTTCTTCCGCTCTCTCAGACAAGAAGTCAAGATTCAGTGATCTTAAGGATGATGACAAGAATCTTGAACCTTACGGCTCCGAAGCTGTCTAGTCTAGTCTAACTTTGTAGTATAGTTTTGATTAATTATTCCACATTACATTTTTGATTCTAATTTCAACTTTTTGTTTTTGTCAAATTCTTGTTTCTAGTTTTCTAATTTCACCCCTGAAAATAAACCAACTTTTTGATTCATTTTTTTGGTTTTTTTTTTTTTTTTTTTTTTTCTCTTGTCATCAAATGTTTTTGTATTTTTTGGAGATGTAAATGTGCTGAATATTTTGAAATTTAATGAAATTGTTTTTGTTGGTCATCTGAAATATATTTGAAAAAGGATGAAAATTTATATGAAACTGTGTAGAAAACAATTCATAACCTATAAGGAAGAAAAACACATACTTTAAAAATGATTATTAGACCAAAGCAAAAACAAAATGTCATGAAATGATTTATAGGCCTTATGGGCCGAATAAGTCAAATGGGTCGGTTTTAGTGCTAATTAGTGAGGGAATTAGTCTTAACTATTAAGGAAATGTAATTATCTGACTGTAATTAGTGTGAAGTAATTAAAATTTTTTAGCTTTCCTCTAAAATATAAATTGATGAATCGTCGACAGCACAGTTAAAATTTTCACTTGTACAATCGTTTTCCCCGAGATCCAAAACTCTGTAAATCTGAAACCGTCGGCCGATTTCGCCGCCGCCGCATCTCCTCCTTCATCTCCGGTAAGCCAATTTCTATTTCTTTGCTTTGTTTTTCCTCTTCCACCGCCGCGAATTCTCCATACGCATTATGATTTTTTTCCGTTTGTGCTGAGTAGATCGGAGTCCTTGGTGATTGATTCTGCTGATCCATTTCGAATTTGATGTGATGATCATAGTTTGATTTAGATTCGCAGATCGGATCTGTAAAATCTGTATTCATCTTCGCACCATTGTTGAACAATTGAAATCGTGAGATGAAATGCATGATTTCGTAACTCAATTCTATGGAATTTGCATCTTAGCTCGATCGTTGCTCCTTTGTCTCTTAGATCTGTTCTTAATTTGGGAGTACCTGGGAATTTTGTTACTTCACTTGTTGGTTTATTAGTGTGTTTATTGAACTCGTGAATTGAGAAACTCCTCTTTGTTTTTTTTGGTTGACGAAGAACAGATAAAAGATGGAGAAATCATGTACGCTGCTAATTTACTATGACAAAGGAACTCCTGCAATTGCGAACGAGATCAAAGAAGCTCTAGAAGGGAACGATGTATCTGCGAAAATCGATGCGTTGAAGAACGCAATCATGCTTTTGCTTAATGGTGAAACTCTGCCACAGCTTTTCATCACTATTATCAGATATGTTTTGACGTCTGAAGACCACACAGTCCAGAAGCTACTGCTGCTTTTCCTGGAGACAATCGAGAAAACCGATTCTAAAGGGAAGGTGTTACCTGAGATGATATTGATATGTCAGAATCTGAGGAACAACCTTCAGCATCCGAACGAGTACATCCGTGGAGTTACCTTGCGGTTCCTTAGCCGATTGAGAGAGACTGAAGTTATGGAGCCTCTGATTCCGTCTGTCTTGCAGAATCTGGAGCATCGCCATCCGTTTGTCCGTAGGAATGCGATTTTGGCTATTATGTCGATTTATAAGCTCCCACAAGGTGACCAGCTCTTGATAGATGCACCTGAAACGATTGAGAAAGTTCTGGCTACCGAACAGGATCCCTCTGCTAAAAGAAACGCGTTTCTTATGCTCTTCAATTGCGATCAAGACCGAGCTGTAAACTATCTTCTGACTAATGTTGATAGGGTTTCTGAGTGGAATGAATTGCTTCAGATGGTGGTTCTGGAATTAATCAAGAAGGTTTGTAGGACCAAACCATCAGAGAAGGGGAAGTATATTAAGATTATTATAGCTTTGTTAAGTGCGCCTTCATCTGCAGTTACTTATGAATGTGCCGGGACACTTGTTTCTCTATCATCTGCGCCCACCGCTATTAGAGCAGCTGCCAACACCTACTGCCAGCTTCTTCTTTCTCAGAGTGACAACAATGTGAAGCTAATTGTGCTTGATAGGTTGAATGAGCTCAAAGCCTCTCACAGAGAGATCATGGTTGAGATGATCATGGATGTGCTAAGAGCACTCTCTAGCCCGAACCTTGACTTTCGCAGGAAGAACTTTGAAATTTGTCCTTGGAATTGGTAACTCATCGGAATGGTTATGAGGTCGTGCAAACGTTGAAGAAAGAAGTTGTGAAGACGCAAAGTGGAGAGCTTGAGAAGAATGGGGATTATAGACAGATGCTCGTCCAAGCGATTCATGCTTGTGCGGTCAAGTTCCCTGAAGTAGCAAGCGCAGTGGTACATCTTTTGATGGATTTCTTGGGTGACACCAACGTGGCTTCAGCTCTTGATGTGGCTGTTTTTGTTAGAGAGATCATAGAATCAAACCCCAAATTGAGGGTTTCAATCATAACCCGCTTGTTGGACACCTTTTATCAGATTCGAGCTGCAAAGGTTTTCCCATTTACGCTTTGGATTGTTGGGGAATATTGCCTATCACTCTCTGAAGTTGAGTCTGGCATAGCAACCATCAAGCAATGCCTCGGTGAGATGCCGTTTTACTCAGCTTCCGAGGAAGCAGAGTCAAATGATTCCTCAAACAAGACTCCGCAGAACACCTCTGCTATAGTTTCCTCTAGAAGACCTGCCATTCTTTCTGATGGGACTTATGCTACCCAAAGTGCTGCCTCTGAAACCGTATTCTCTCCATCTACAGTTGCTCAGGGATCATTGGCTTCTGGAAACTTGAGATCTCTTATACTAACTGGTGATTTTTTCCTCGGAGCAGTGGTTGCTTGCACATTGACTAAACTTGTTCTGAGATTGGAGGATGTGCAGTCATCCAAAACTGAAATTAACAAGGTCAAAACACAAATCTTACTCATCATGGTCTGTATGTTGCAACTAGGACAATCTCATGTGGTTCCTCATTCGATTGATCCTGATTCTTATGAGAGGATTGTGCTCTGCATAAAATTAATTTGCCACACAAGTGACGAGATGAAGAAGATTTGGCTGGAATCCTGTCGCCAGAGTTTTGTCAAAATGCTCTCTGAGAAACAGCTACGAGAACTAGAGGAACTTAAAGCCAAAGCCCAAATATCTAACGCTCAACCTGATGATCTTATTGATTTCTTCCATCTGAAGAGCAGAAAGGTAACAAAATCTCGTTTCGTATATATACACCACCATGTCATTATCTTATTGTTGATCTGACTGTCAATACAATTGTGAAAAATCTGTTTCAGGGTATGAGTCTACTTGAGTTAGAAGACCAAGTACAAGACGACCTAAAACGTGCAACCGGTGAATTCACCAAAGACGAAAATGATGCAAACAAGCTTAACCGTATTCTTCAACTTACTGGATTCAGCGACCCAGTCTATGCAGAAGCATATGTGACAGTCCATCACTATGACATAGTCCTCGATGTCACAATTATCAACCGTACCAAAGAAACCCTCCAGAATCTGTGTCTGGAATTGGCGACCATGGGAGATCTAAAGCTTGTCGAGCGTCCTCAGAATTACACACTTGCACCTGAATCAAAGAAGAAGATAAAAGCCAACATCAAGGTTTCCTCCACTGAGACTGGGGTCATCTTCGGGAACATTGTCTATGAGACTTCAAATGTCATGGAGCGAAACGTCGTGGTCCTTAACGACATACATATTGATATCATGGATTATATCTCTCCTGCTGTGTGTTCAGATTCCGCATTCAGATCCATGTGGGCAGAATTCGAATGGGAAAATAAGGTATACCTAAACCGAAATTTTCCTTCTTACTTAAAGCTTTGTTTTGATAACTCGAATCTGGTCTTCTATTTATAGGTGGCTGTAAACACTATGATTCAAGACGAGAAAGAGTTTCTTGATCACATTATCAACTCAACTAACATGAAGTGCCTCACTCCAACGTAAGTCCCGCTTCTACTCAATCGCCTTTACTATTGAGCTTGCAGGTTTCTCACTGGATTATTCCCTCTGTTGATTCCAGATCTGTGTTAGAAGGCGAGTGTGGGTTTCTCTCAGCTAACTTATACGCCAAGAGTGTGTTTGGTGAAGACGCTTTGGTGAATGTGAGTATCGAGAAACAAAGCGATGAAAAGCTTAGTGGTTACATAAGAATTCGAAGCAAGACACAAGGGATTGCTCTTAGTCTTGGAGATAAGATAACTCTTAAGCAAAAAGGGAAAAGTAGCTGAAACCAAATTCACTCACTATCATCCTTTCTCTCTTAAGTTCAGGTACTCTCACATTTATCTTGAAGCTACCAAATAGTGAAACTGATTATGTTAGTTTCGGACTCAGTTTCTTGGTTTAACTCTTGATTCCAAATCTTTCAGGTTCAGAGCAACAGTATTTGCGAATTCCAGCTTTTTACTTTTTTTTTCTTTTTTTTTAAAAAAAATCTTTTATGAGCAGCAATTTTATGAGGAAGAATAAGATGTATGGATTCGACGAGAACATGGCTTTGAAAATTTGGGATTTGTATCATTTTGCTTTGAATTAGTTAGAGATTTTGATGATTTGATAGTATATGCGATGAGGAACAAATAATGAAGCTCATATTAGATCCTGGTCCATTTTCGCTTTTAGTAAGAGACTAATAATTTTTGGCATTAGAAAAAATGATAGACTTCAAATGTATTAAAAATGCTCGTGCCTGTTCATATTAACTTGAAACAGTATGAACACTAATTTGTTGTACAAGATAAGATTCACGAACCCAAAAAAAGAAAAAGAAAATGAGACATTATAATTGACGAAAAAAATTGAAATGAGACATTATAATAGTAAGGTGCCTAGAGAGACAAGAGCTGTCACTGAGCAAATGTTGTCTCCTACTCGATGCACAAAAACTTCTGTAAACTTAAAAATCGTCATAAATACTTTTTTTTACTCCTAGTATATAAATATATTATTCTCTCACGCATTTCATTAAATAATACGTGTAAACAATTAAAAGATCTATTGTCAGATAAGTCAGAAGTCAGGACAACTATATAGAGAGAAGAATTGTTATTGAATTTCTCATGTGTTGTTGTTCGTTCAATGTAATGTACGTTCCGACCAGAGAGCGAGTTCCAACGTCTATCTCATTGTTTTGATACCCCACGTGATCGTTTTCACGTTAC